GCTCCCCGCTTATGCAAATGAAGCCCGGGAAATTCAAATCCCGGGCTTCATTTGCAAGTGCGGTATGCCTACATTACCCTCCTAGTTCGCACTAGGAGGGTAGTGTAGACATACCCTGGGAGAGTGAAGAAACAGAATGGGAGAGGGATTCTCGCACTTCTACTGGAGTGTCTAGAGTTTTTAAATATTAGAAAGTTGGCAACCCTAGTGTGGTGGGATGGCATAGCCCCTGCCACCACTATTAGGGTAAGACTAATGTTGTAGTTGGCTCTTTAAGTGCGAGTATAGAAATAACAACTATAGAGCCCTACAAATCTGTGGATATCCACTTTATATCTGCAGACATCTGTGGAGATACATGCAGATATCCATGTCTCATTTTTGCAGATATAGATACACTAAATGTCGAGCCCTGTGTAATCTACTGGCCTGTGGTGAGTAGATTACAAGCTGGCACAGCACGCTGAACTGTGCGGCTGGCGAGCCCTGTAGATACAACTTTTTTATCTTGAACCCTGCAAATCTGAGAATATCTGCTTTATATCTGCATCAGTGGATGCGGATATCCACAGTTCATTTTTCTGGATACAGGTGCAGATATGGATACAAAATTTTATATCTGTGCAGGCTCTAAGAAACTAGCCTTATGTTTCTTACATCTTTCCCCTTACCATCTAATGGACTGTACAGAGCTATTTACAGTCTAACCAGTGATTTTTTAAGTGTGAGGCACCATAATGTGTCACTGAATGGCAGTAATAATATTAGCAAAATTTGAGGTCATAAGTACAAAACTGAAAATAGAATCCCTAGAGCTCTTCCCACAGTTCTTCAGTTTGTCCTATTTTTCTCCTGCTCTGTCTTTGAATCCGTAGGGATCCTAGCTAGTGATATTTCAGATGTTGTCATGTTTTCCTTGCCATAGTTAGCAAATGCCTTTAGGTATAGAAGAGAGCAGTACAATTATATTTCCTTATGAGCTATCTTAATTTTACTATTAGATATTTCATGGCTCAGTATCATGCATAATTTCAGTTACAAGTCATAGATTTTTAACTGTTGATTAGCTCTATTCCCTTTAGTTGTGAAATTGCTCCCACCAGCTCTCCACCTTGACAGTATAAATCTTTTGTGGGTTTTTTATGTCCAGACGGAACTGTCAGGGTATTTTGAGATTGTCAACATTCTACCTGTTAACAGGTGATTCAGTATTTGAAAAATTAAACCTGAGAACTGTCTGCTGCACAAATGTGTTGTCCAAGGGAAGGGCACATTTTAGTTATGAAAGTTCCTAATGGAATAAAAGAACAATACACATGAGCTTAATACAAGAATGACATGAAAAACAACTATGTCATCTATACACTACCTTGTTCTTAGAGGAAGTCAGAGGGTATGTTATAGAGGAACACATAAATAGCAGGTCTCAGATGTTTCACTCAGGGTATGTCTACACTAGAGGAAAATTGAAGCTGCTGCTATCCATCTTCCAGGGTTCAAATTAGTGGGTCTAGTCAAGAAAGCTCATTCATAGTGAGAGGGGCACTGCAATTGATGCCGGTAACCCTGCTTTCACGAGGACTAAGGGAAAGTCAAAGGGAGAGTGTTCTTTCTTAGACTTCCTACAGTGTAGACAGCGCCAAAAGTCGAGTTAAGCTACTTTTACTTCTGCTATTCAATTAACATAGCTGAAGTTGCATATCTTAATTCGACTTTGTCCTGTAGTGTAGACATACCCTCACTGTCCATACATAGAGGCTACGTCTACATTGGCCCCTTCTCCGGAAGAGGCATGTTAATTTCCAACTTCAGAATAGGGAAATCTGCGGGGGATTTAAATATCCCCCGCGGGATTTAAATAAACATGGCCGCCGCTTTTTTTCCGGCTTGGGGAAAAGCCGGAAAAAAGCGTCTAGACTGGCGCGATCCTCCGGAATAAAGCCCTTTTCCGGAGGATCTCTTATTCCTACTTCTCTTATTCCTACTTTATTCCGGAGGATCGCGCCAGTCTAGACGCTTTTTTCTGGCTTTTCCCCAAGCCGGAAAAAAAGCAGCGGCCATGTTTATTTAAATCCCGCGAGGGATATTTAAATCCCCCGCGGATTTCCCTATTCTGAAGTTGGAAATTAACATGCCTCTTCCGGAGAAGGGGCCAATGTAGACGTAGCCTAACTGTTCAAACAGCTTATTCCCAGTGCAGCAACTTCCTTAGATGTTTGAGGAAGCACGTTAGTTATGGAATGTTGAATCTTCCCATGCTTCATTAGCCTTTTTCACACAAGGCTTACATACTTGCGGAGTTCTGATTTGCTGGATAGTAAGTGAAAAGAATCGAATCCTGTATACCCTAGTCCAGGGCTACTCAACTTTGGAAGCCCGGGAGGCCACAATGATACAGTCAGCACATGCTGACGGCTGCAACTTAAGTATGGTTGCATATACATGCAAATATATATGCAAATAGCTTTTCACACTGATGGGCATGAACACAAAGATTGAGGCAAGACTATACAATACACAGGCCCCATTTAAGTCAGTTATGCTGATATTAATAAAATGCAATAGTTACCCGATTTCCACCAATATGACAGCACTTTTAATGAGCAATAACAATCCAGGATTTAACTACTAAAGCACATACCACCAGAAGACCATTATATTGACTACTTTTTTGTTTCGGCTTCCACCTGCGAGCCGCATGTGGCCCATGGGCTGTGTGTTGAGTAGCCCTGCTCTAGTCTTTAATATCAAACAGTCCAATGAGCTTTTAATTGTAGTATGGCTCACCCAGAAAGGAACTGCCATTATTTGATCAACTCAATGGTTCCATATCCTGCCTCAGAATGTCTAATACCAGATGCTTCAGAAGAAGCTGAAAGGAAACCCCCTGAATATGCAATTATGGAATAATCTGCATATGGTGAAGTTTCTTCTTACTCCCCATCAGTCAGTCAGTCATCAGCTTGTGCCCTGAAGTATAGGAGTTTATACCTCACACCATCCTTTATGTAATATTATGCAATGCAACAGCATGTGTTTATTATACAAACATCTCGTCTATCTGTACTTAATCCTGGTGCATTATTGGTCCAACCCTACAATTTTTATGATGTGAGGAATTTCTTTTTACAGTGAGTTCCAAAGGCTAACTTTGTGATGTGTCTAAAAATAATAACTCCTTTCTGCTGTTAAATTGTTGCCTTTCAGTTTCATTGACTAGCTCCTTGTGTTATGATGCAGAAAAACAGAAGTGCTTGATTTTCTTTCTCATAACTAATTATTACTTTGTATATCTTTATCATGTCTCCTCTTAAAACTATACAGTCCCAATTTTTTCAGTTGTGAAGGGATTCTTACCAGCTTGCATTACTTTGCAATTGTAATACTAAATTTTACTGACATTGTACTGCCTTTGCCTCACCTACTTGTGTGTAAGCCTCTCTGAAATTCATCAATGTTCACTGGTGTTGATAACCTAAATAAATGAGAACTATTGCAAGTTGTTAATCTGATTGCCTAAAGATAGCAAACTACAGGACAGTCCTCTGTACGCTAGACAAGTCATTAGGAAATAGCTGACGAACTGTAACCTTAATAGGGCAAAAATATTATATTTCCACATTGCAAGATGGAAGTTAATTTTAAAAAGACATTCCAGCCATAATAAAGGGGTAGGAATCTTCATTATAAACCAGTTTCTTCAGGTGATTATAACTAAGCAATCTAAATTGACACAAAACTAAATCTTCATACAACAGTAATCAGTGTAGCCCTTAACTTCTTTCTAAGTTTTGATTATATAAGATATTTTCATTTTGGATGGATTTATTTTTGAGCTACTCAAAGCAAACAAAATGTAAAATTTGAAAACTGACATTTTGCAGGCATTTGTTTTTCATAACTTTTAGAACAAACTAGACATTGCCAAAATCATACAATGAATTCATACCCGTTCCATCAAGGTCCAGCTGACAAGTAGTAGCTCCAAAGACATCAGTTAAAGCATTACTCCTCTCACTGGCCCAAATTCTGCAAATAGATATGGTACCAAGGGACTTTTGAGGCTTCCAGAGGCCCACTGATGTCAGTGGGACTCCGCTGGTGTTAGCAGCAGCATATCTACTTATAGTATGAACTTTGATATAGCAGGAGGTGGGGGAAGAGGATTTCATTCTCATGTTCATCCTTAACATTATCTCTATAAAGATAATGTTTTTTAAATCTATTCTTGTCGTTCTTGTGAAGGGAGAAGCTTTATGCCACCTTTACACACACTTTCTACAGGGGCCAGACATAACTTTTTTAACTTATGCCTGAATGCTCACAGAATCCATCCCAGCAGTCAATGATCACTAGGGGCATGTCTAAACTACATCCCTCTTTCGAAAAAGGGATGTAAATAAGATTGAAATTGCAAATGAAGCCGGGATTTGAATTTTCCGAGCTTCATTTGCATAATGGCAGCTGCGCATTCTTTCAGAAACGGGTATTTCGAAAGTGAAACTGCCGTCTAGACACAGTTCTTTCGAGGAAAAAGAACCCTTTTTCAAAGATCGTGTAAACCTCATTTTTTGAGGAGTACAGGATCTTTCGAAAAGGGTTTTTTTTCTTCGAAAGAACCTCATCTAGATGGCGGTTTCACTTTTGAAATACCCGTTTTCGAAAGAAAGTTCAGCCTCCATTATGCAAATGAAGCACAGGAAATTCAATTCTCTGCTTCATTTGCAATTTTGATCTGTCTAATTTACATCCCTCTTTCGAAAGAGGGTTGTAGTGTAGACATAGCTTGGAACAGACATTGCCATCTGTAACCTCCTATGCCCCATACACTCTACTCGTGCCTGTCCTTGCTGAAGAAACCCCCATCTAGCCATTCCTTTTTCACTGCTGCCTGTACAAGAGATCCTGTTTATTGTTGCATATCTCTTTGACTTGTTTATCAGGTTCCCTAAGGTTTGGTTTGGGTTTTTTTATTGACTGTATCTACTCCCCCACCCCCCGCCCTCAAAAAAAATCACAACATAAATAAAGTAGCTTTTTGCATTTAGAGGCAAGGGCTCTGCCCACTTTCAAACATTTAGCATTGAGCGTCCTGTTCTTTCTCATGTTCTTTTTCTGGAGGCCTTAAAAGCAGCCCAGTTGCTTCATACTTGGGGTACACAGATGTTACCACTGCCTAAAGTATATTTTGCTTCAATATCTCACTTTTGTCAGCTTTGTTTGTATATGAGTGTGGAGGGGGTTACATTTTATAAAACTTAAATAGATAAATCTATGCTGGAGTCTGAGAGCTTCTTTTCCCTCCCTAGAATGTGAGCCTATAGAAGCTATAGCCAAGTTTGACTACATTGGAAGATCTGCACGAGAACTCTCCTTCAAAAAAGGAGCCTCCTTGCTTTTGTATCATCGAGCATCCGACGACTGGTGGGAAGGAAGGCATAATGGAATTGATGGCCTAGTACCTCACCAATATATAGTGGTGCAGGATATGTAAGCAATATCTAGTTGTATAACATACCAGAATAATAGCTCCTTGTTGTGAAGAAGCTTGTTCATCTATCAGGGTACCTCCCGAATTTCGGAGTACTTTGAAGGCTCATAAACACCTGGGACATTTTGCCTTCAAAGTGAGCCATACTGTACCATCTTTCATTTGTTATATTTCCCTGAAGTAAATGCCTATGAAGCAACACCACAGAATTACTGAACATTGATAGGCCAACTCAGCTACATCATTGACAAAAGTGATCCCAGTACAGTATGTCTTTTAGTGCTCTCATAGGGTACGTCTAGACTACAGGGTTTTGTCGACAGAAGTTTTGTCGACGGATACTGTCGACAAAACTTCTGTCGACATAGAGCATCTAGACACATTCAGTTCTGTCGACAAAGCACGCTGCTTTGTTGACAAAACCCTGTAGTCTAGACGCAACTCTACAGGCAATAACACCTTCTGTCGAAAGAACTCTGTCGACAAAAGGCGTTATGCCTCTTAAAATGAGGTTTACCAGCGTCAACAAAACTGCTGAGTTCTGTCAACGTTATGTCGACAGAACTCAGTGGTAGTGTAGACGCAGGTATAGTTTTGTCGACAAAAGTCCACTTTTGTCGACAAAACTCAGTAGTCTAGACACACCCTTTGTTGTAGCAGCTGTTACTAATAATAGGGATGTAAAAGGTTAACCAGTTAACTGGTTACCTGGTAAACATACACCTTACCAGGATGTGCTTACCTGGCCGGACTGGATGAGCCCCCTGCCATGAGATCACGATATTTAACTGGCTAACTTTTTACCAGGATTTTACATCCCTGACGATAAACTTCTGAGTAACAGGCTCGACAAGTACACCACTGACTTTGTTTTTAATGGTACTCTGAGATGCATTTGGCACTTGAAAGCCAACAAAGTCCCTGTTCCCAAAATATCACAATCTAAATTTTCAGTGGTGACATGAGTGAAGTCAACAAATAGGTCATCAATGAGAGCACAGCAGCTGGAGACACAATTGTTTATCTAGTTTTAATTCTGTAAGAGGACAAAAATAGAAAGACATGATTC